GCATCACCGGTCTCGCCGTAATTATTCTATAGGTATACGCCTGCAGTGCAATTGTCCTTCATGTGACGTTTTAATAAATACTTATAACAATTTAAAAACTCGTATAACTCGCAGAAGTGCGAATAAAAGATAGATAGACACATGCGGATACATGATATATATAGATACTGATGCAGTCACAGCATGCTGCAGAGACTGTGTAGGTGTGACATTATTCTGGTTTGGCGCATTGTGTAATATAATTATGGTTATATTCATAGGTAAATTTGAATACAGCAACTAGTAACTATATTATATAGATTATAGCATATATACACAAAACATATAGGTGTATATATATTATATATTTCGATTATATTCTGCCTGCGCGGTGACGTACGAAATACCTTTATATTATTTATATCACAAATTCGACGAATAGGAATGTATATATATAATATTATAATGTGTATAGGTACTTTAAAATAAAACGCAAATTGGGCGTCTCTCGAAAGACGATGGGAAAAACGCCGCCTCCACCGCTGAAGCAAGCAGCTCATTTGCGGTTCTCTTGCGGTCCGCAATCGGACCGCAGCAATCTGACAATCAGACTTGTAGCAGTATATTACGGGCGCGTAATGTCGTAATTGTAATAATACGTCGTGTGTGTAATTTTTGTCCGTGAGAAAACGAAGCGTATATATAGGTACAAGCATATAATACGTATGTGACCGGTTTTATAATTTCGAACTATATTATATAGCTAGGGAAACAGCCTCGAAGAGGGCTGTGTGCACAGCAGTCTGCAGGACACTCGTTCGTCGTTTCATGCATATTATACAATATATAGATATATATATGATAGTGATAACATGTTTAGGTGTTGCGGTCACATATATAAATATATATTTGTATAATACCTATCCATGGATCGATACGTTTCTCTTCTACGCCTATAGCCCGGGTTATATATAATATGTATATTGTATATACCTTCATAGCCTAAATATAATGTATACCTAAACATATACATAAATTATATATTGTATACTTTGTGCGATCGTTGAAGGAAACACGATGGCAGCTAAATAAAATAAGGATACTTATATATTAATATATTAATATATAATATATAGATACCTTTTCTATGTTATATGCAGATATGTGTGATTATAGGTAGGACCTATAGCCTATAGGTAAGTGTACCTATAATTGATAAAGATATTTAAAAGCTATTAGGGGAAATCCTCTAATTATACAATATAGGTTCCAAATAAAAACGTTTGCTGACACAGAAATATCTACAGAATAAATAATATAAATGTATACCTTTATCATATAAAGCCTATAATGTATATTATAATATTAAAGACATATTTAGGTATAGGTATACTCAAAGATTTTCGTGCCACCTCAGCTATATACCTATAACAATATATAGACCACTGCTAATAAAAATACTTTATATAATGTAACTACAATGTCGTATAAGTGATGTAGTATATACACATATATAGGTAATATGTATAAGGTTGGTATACCTACCTTTATATACCTTTTCGTACATAGTAATAATATACAGCGCTGTGTACCGACGCAATCAAAAAACGGTCGTCGTAATAACGTAATTTTTCTTTTATGAAATATCGTTCGCGGCGTCTTTTTTTGTTGTATATGACAGCAGCAGCAGATGTTTGGCGCGTCCTCTTATATTTACCGCCGCCGTCCGCACCGATGGGAAAAACGATGATCGTTTGCAGTTGTGTATAAAGAAAAATAAAAAGTAAATTTTTTTTTTAAAAACGTAGGAAATACTCGTCTCGTCATAACATAATCTCATGTCTATAATATACATCGTATATTATATTATATACATAAACACGCAATACCGGGTATAACGGCCCTGTTATATAAGATATTTCGTATGAATACCTACGAACAAAACGCCATTTTTCCGGACACGATCGGACCCGATTCTTTTCTTTGTATCGCGCGACGTGCAGTATATTCGTCATCATGTATTTGTATGCAGTCGTCGGGCGATGTGGTGCGGTGCGTCGTGTGTGTCACTGCAGTCGTCGTCGCCCGTCGGTGGGAGGAGATATTTTGTCGCAGCTCGGTGGGCGGAGCGCCGGCCGGTGGTTGACACGGCGTATGACACAGCCGGCCGGCCAATGGGACGCGCCGCCGCCGACGGTCGACTGCAGTGCCCGGGGGACCGTTCGGAGACAAACAGGCGCACGACAATAATAACAATAATATACGACATTATTGTGCTACGGTATAGACGATTTCGGGGACCCCTCGGCCGACCAATAACAGCACGGCGGCCGAGCAATCCTCGTCGTCGTCAATAACGCTGTGCTGCAGCTGCGCGCTTTTTTTTATTTTATTATTATCCGACGTTCATATTATTATCATCGCCGCGGATTATTATTTATATTTTATAATAATAATAATAATAATACGAAAATGGGTCGTCGTCGTCGTCGTCGTCGTATATGTATAGGCATAATAATAATATAGAAAACACGTTTTTATTATTACTTTCAAAGGGGGTCGCTTGTTAAATGCGTGTGATGTGCGTGCCAGTGTACTTGTGCATGGCGCGTATTATGTTCCAGTCCCTTCGCGATCGCGAGATATATAATATCGTATAGGTACCTACATAATATATATATACATATTCTATATACGCGCTCTCCCTCGGCCCCTCAACCCCCCCCCCCTCTCGCCCGCCGTTCACGGTCTGGGTCGCCATTAGCGCATTGTGAGACCGATGTATATAATATAGTCATATACTCATATATACATCGTGGTACATATTAAAATATATATACGAGTACCCATGTATACATCATGTGTATGTGCGCGATGTAGTCGTCGCGTCATTGCGCGTGCATCGTCGACGACGACCTTAAAGTGCATATTATATGTACATCATATATACGATATGCCTACATATTATATTATTATATATAGGTATATATGTATACAATAATATACGCGCCACTCGGTAGATTATTATATACGTTTTCAACAATGACGAGACGAATATAATGACTACACCCCCACCCTACCACTCTCACGGAGTGCAGGACCCGCTGCTGCAGTATACATATAATGTGTATTACGCGCCGCAATCGCGGCTGACGAGCACAATGCTCGCTATTAATATATAATAATATATATGCGCGCCGGGCATCAGCCCAGAAGTTTTCAATCTCATCGCGCTCGACTATATATTATATGTATAATAAAAACACACACACACACATATATATATATATATATATATGCACGATGTGTATATATAGATACGACGGATATGAGCCGCGCGCGTACACGGTTGACAGGTTTCATAATATCAGAAAAATACGCGTTTAATCACTGCTGCTGCCGCCGCTGCTGCTGCTGCTGGCGATGGCGGTCCGCTGCACTCGATCAACGACCGCGACGACGAGTAGACGAGTAGTCCGTTTTTAAATTATAGATAGGTAGGCACATCGTCGTCGTACGTTACTTACCTATACATACGCGTGTAGTAAGTATATTATATTATAAGCAAGAGACAGACATACTGCTATATATATATTAGTAGATATATATAGGTACTCGACGGCTGGCAATCGTTATCAATCATGTGCCATCCGATCGTTTTCTAACACAGGAATAATACGTATCAATACAATATATATATATATTGTATACATAATATTACATTATGTTATGCACTTAATATGACCCATAGCTATAATATGTATATAAGACCTATGTACAATATTATATATGTACCTGCTATAGATTATATAGGCACAACTGCGATATTGGATTTGACGAAATTATAAATGGCTTTGTATATATGAATATGGTATGTTCCTTGACAATACTGCTAAAATTATCCCACATAATATATTATAGAATATATATTATATACTCATATTCGTTGATTCATGTCTTGTCGTCCATGTATAATAAAAAATATATTATTATATTATACCGATGTCCTATATATATATATATATATATAATGTACCTATACAGTCCGTCTTAGTGCAAGTCCTGCTGACAGCCCTGATGACGACAGCCATTTTGAAATCAAATAATATGATTCTGCACATATAATTTGACAGGCCAGGGGGGGGGTTTTATGAGGTGCAGTGTACGAAAAAAAATGTATTATGTAACAATGAGATATAAACATTTCGATGCTCGAATAATTTGATCTTTTTGTGTTTTAACAATAATATAGTTACCTATAGTACCTATATGGCTGTATACCTTATATTATTATATAGGTTCATATATATATATATATATAAAAAAAATCAACAACAGGAAATACGATCAGAATATTTCAATTGATAAGTTTTTTCTCATTATTATTAGTTGACTGAGGCTGCGGCGCTTCATTCCAGTTGGATTGATTTTGGGACCAAACGCAATCTAACGGTCGAACGAACCGAAATACGCAATACATATAATATGATCGGTTGTCAAATTAAAAAAAATCCATTGTTAACGTTCGTCGGAACGCCACCGTGCCGCTGAAAAATGTATTATTTATATAATATTATATTATTATATTTAATAACTGGAGCCCATTGTGGATGCGGTGAATAGGTCAGGTAGAAAATGATGTCTAGTCCCTTTTTCATATATAAATACATATATATAAACCACGTGAGAGTATATGAACCGCGTTCGTCATCATCAATCCCACGGGTGTTTCATTTATTATTATATTGTGTGGATACTTCAGGGTAATGATCGAAAAATATCTAAATAGAGGGATCCTTACCGTCTTTGTTGCCGTCATCGTATCATATATATATCATTGGGACCCAAATGTGTTGATGGTGCAAACTGCAACCTCCTCTTTACTGATATGATATAATATAATATTGCCTATATTACCTATGTGTATAATGTATTATAATGGTTATAATTTATAACTTATGTAAGGAAAAAACGTATAAAATAAATATTTTTAACGAGTTTATTTGTTTTTTGTTCAATAGCTCTCGACAAGTTGGGATTTGGTGGAGCTTCCTTGGGAAACGGGGCCGTGGAGCCCATCCAACCAAACGTGGCTTTCGACATCGCCAGTCTGGTGTTATATGGCTGTCAGGCCCTGCCGATAAGACTCAAGATCTTGTTAGACCGATTGTTCAGCGTTCTCCGTCAAGACGAAGTGTCGGCCGTACTCAGAGGGTTCGGTTGGACGCACGAAGACTACGCCAGGGGTTATATACTTCAGGTAATGTGATTGTCATAATAACATATAATAGTGCACATAGACATAGGCATAATATAAATGTACAACATATATACAGTGTGTGTATGATGTGTGTGTGTGAGTGCTCATAATATATAAGCTTGTGTGTGTGCTCTGGACGGTAAAAGGGTTAAACACACAAAAACGCATCGATAGGTTCCTAATGAACGACCAAACGACCCTATATCGCTGTTTGTTTTTGGGGTCGTCCGTGGCGTTGGTGGATACGTGACGTGAACGTCGTGTGAAGGGCTCGGGAAAAACAAACCGACTCGAAAGGGTTGTAGTAATTTTGTGTAATACACGACTCGTAACCGTAAGTTGACTTTCTCTCTATATATATATACTATGTGTTACTTATAGTAATGGATGATTGAATTACACACACACACACGCGCGCGCTCGCGTACATTTAGAAGTCCCTGGGGCTAGCTGTCTTGCGAATATACGCGACTGAGCACGTTATTTCGTTAACTATTGTTTTCACCATGGCCACCAACGGTCATTACGCTGTATGCCTCAGGCAGGCGTTAAACTCAAGAGTCAGACTCCTGGGATTGACAATTGGCACGAAATATAAAAACAACTTCACGTTTTACACGATACCTATATATATATATATATATATATAATATATACTTAAGTTATTCGACCAACTTCTTGATGCACAATATATAATATGTAAATATTGTAATTGTGTTATGTTTAATTTTCAAAATACCAGGTGATAGATATTTAAGAATAATATAATATATTACAGTTATTTAATAATTTTTTTTGATTTAATCGTTACAGGAACCTCTCGGTGGTGGAATTTTGGAACGTTGGAACATATGTAGCCCGGAGGAAGAGCCGCTTGTGCTGCAGCAGTTTTTGAGATTCGGCGAAACCCGAGCAGTTACACAGCAATTGTTGTTGCATGGCCTGGGTGCTGATTTTCGGGCTCTTCCAGCCTTGGAGACTGACATGAAACGGTTAATGGAACGCCAGAAACAGCAATTAAACAACGACCACAAGTCCGGATTTGACATTAATAAGTTCCGGTCACGGACACCTCCCCCGCAATCTATACCAATGCTGCCGCTGCCACTACCGCAGCTTCCACCGCGGCTTCAACTAGGAAGTTCACCACCATCACCGCCAAAACCAGTGTTCGGGTTCGCCAAGCCACCTGGAGGACTCCCAATGCTACAGCCCCCACCAGTTGCTAATAATGCGTGTAATGGAGCTGGTTCGCCACCAGCTGGTAGCCCTACCAGCAGTGTGTCACCACTCAACAAGCTTCAGAACATGCAACCATTTGACTTCCGGAAGATGCAGTCAGCTGCATCTGGATTTGGTGGTGGAAAGCCTTTGCAGGTCCCTTCGGGCCGACGGTCAAACAACTCATCAGCTGACTTATTACCGCCGCCCCCACGTCCAAGCCAGCAGCAACAACAACAGCAGCAGCAGCAGCAGCAGCAGCAGCAGCATCAGCAGCAACAACAGCAGCAACAACAAAATGACTTCAACAACAAGTATGGTCCACCAGACAGTTTGGCTGGCAGTAGTGATTTCGGCTCCGAAGACGGAGACGAAGAGGAAGAAAACTCACAGAGCGCATTGAACCTCAGCAAAGACACCGCTCTGAAAGCATTACGTCCTCACCGAGGCCACGTTCGCAAGACTCCGCAACCATTAAAGAGACAGTGGGGTTCAGCTGGACTACCGTTAAATTTAGGCACTCAACTCATCAACCCGGCTACAGGCAAAAAACGAGTGCAATGTAACGTTTGTCTGAAGACGTTTTGCGACAAAGGAGCACTGAAAATTCACTTTTCCGCCGTCCATTTGCGCGAGATGCACAAGTGTACTGTAGAAGGGTGCAACATGATGTTCAGCTCAAGACGTTCTAGAAACCGGCATAGCGCCAATCCCAATCCAAAGCTCCACTCTCCACATTTACGTAGGAAAATCTCACCACACGACGGACGCAGCTCACAAGCTCACCACCCGATGGTCATAACTCCGTTACAGGCATCTGCGATGAACCAACTGGCGTTCGGAGCGTTTCCACTACTGGCCGGCGGTGCAGACTTAAGAGCCACCGGATCCAAACATAGTTCCGCATCAGGCCTACACCTGGCTGAAGAACTTAGACGCTCGGCTGAATTTTCATCAGACAACATGGATGAATACATGGACGACGAAGAAGAAGGCATCGTCGTGGACGGTAATGCCGTAGACGACGACGAAGACGACTCGGAGCACCGGAGCGACAGGAGCTGCAAACGGATGTCTGAAGAATCCGAGGATGAGGGTGGCAGCACCGCTGCTGAACCGCAAAACAACCACCATCATCACAACAACAACAACATAAACAACGACAATAACAACGATCGGCCACCAATAGTGGCCATCAAGAACGTGCACAAACGGAAGAGCATGAACCCGACGAGGTTCGCCGCCGCGGCTGACCTCAGCGACGAAGGCATGTCTTGCACAGACGATTACGGGTCGGTCGCGTCTCCAAAAGACAACAACAACGACGTGAAGCCTGTTGTCTGCAAGCTGGAATCCAATCTGACCGACGAAGACGATGGTTGCTTGAATCTGAGCAGAAAAAGGTCATCACCCAGTCCCGTGACGGCGGAAGGTGGTGGCGAGGGTGATGGGAATGGCAGGCGGTCGGCGTCGGGAGGAGTTGGTGGTGGGTCAAGAGATTCACTGCTGTCCGAAGAAGACGATGGTCTGTTGGAAGACGACGAGGACTTGGATGACGACGCCGACGATGATTTGGATTTGGACGACGACGACGAAGACGCTGATGACTTGGACGAGTGCGACTCTGACAGTGACGGTATCCACCGGGTCTACGGCGTGTTTGAGAACGGCCGGTTCGTGGCCACGGACGACGTGCCCGTTGACAAAGACAACCCACGTGCGTGCACGGCTTGTGGTAAGACGTTCCCTAACCACTTTGGTGTCAAGTCCCATTACCAACGCGTGCACCTGAAACTCATGCACAAGTGCGTGGTGGACGGCTGCAATGCGGCGTTACCGTCCAAGCGGAGCCGGGACCGACACAGTTCCAACCTGAACCTACACCGTAAACTGTTGTCCACGTCATCGCCATCTTCGTCGACGGAACCACATCGGCAACAGTCACGTCACCGTCAGCCGGCACCGCAGCCGGCCCAGAAGCAACCGCATCAGCCCCAGGTCCCGCTGCCGCCGCCACCACCTGCACCGTCGCAGCAACACCCGCAGGCCCTTCCGGCACCCGCGGTCACCAGCAGTGCCGCCTCCACCGCGGCCAACATCATGGCGGCCGCCGCGGACAACCCGTACGGCATGCACGCGGAGTTCCTGGCCCGGTTGTACGCCGACTCGCAGCAACAGTTCCAGGCGTTCGCCGGTAGCAACGGACTGATGCAGGTGCCACCGCAGTTCGCCGGGGGCGCGCCCGTCGGTTCACCGTTCAGGCACTTGCCCGCCGCCGCCGCGGCGATGGCCATGGCTGCCGCGGCCAACGGCTGCAGCACGTCGCCGCCGTCCGCCGCCCGGCTGGTGTACTCGGCCGACGAGGACCTGCCGCCGGCGCCCGACAAGGAGAACGGCAGCATGTACGCGTGTCGGTTCTGCAGCAAATCGTTCCCCGACAAGAACGGCATGCGCGAGCACTACGAACAGCTGCACATGCACGAAATGCACCGGTGCAAGGTGCCCGGGTGCGGTATGGTGTTCAGCTCGCGGACCCGGCGAAACGCTCACGCGGAGAACAGCCACCAACAGCAGCAGCCGTCCCTGTCCGCCGGGGCGCAGGCCGCGACGTCGTGACCTCGACCCGCGCCGCACCAGCGTTTTCCCGTGCCGCCGCCCTGGTGGTGGTAGACGCCACACGAACGCGGTAAACTATATAATATTATAATGTCGTACCGGTGTGGTACGATGTGTTTTCATTACGATACTCTTATTGGCCCCCACCTGTCGTGTCGCTCGTCTCCCCCCCCTCACCCCACCCAATACTTTATATATGTATAATATAATATATCATACTCGATCGCCTGTCGTAAAATTTTTAAGAATTTTTTTATTCGTCGGTCCTAGGCTATACGTTCCCACGTAGCCCCGCTCACACGTTTTATTTAAATCTTTTTACTTTCGTTTTGGTGCTCAAGTCAAACGATTAACCTCATCATCGTCTGTGTGTACAATAATAATTGTGTGTATTTGGTAAATTATTGTCCTTACCCACTCATATATTATGCGATCTGACTAATAATTGATGTAATGTGTATACCCGCCACCCTGAACCCCTACAGTCTTAAGAAGCGAATTTTTATTATATAAACTTTATTATATTATTACATATACGTATACGATGTATGAAAATATGTGATTCATTTTTGTTAATGTATATTTATTATAATATTTACTATTATTATTATTATTATTACGATTTATATTATTACAAACGATTAATGTATCGTCGTGGCTGTTCTACTTAAGAACGTTATTATTTTTTTTTTTATCGTAGAATACAATTCATTATTATATATAATATTATTTAGAAAAGAGTAGAGAAAAGTTCGCGTAAACAATATACGACTATTAATTTTAATATATACCTACTGTTTACATTGTTTTGCATATTAAAGGTTGTGTTTGAATATATATATACATATATATATATTTATATATCATATAAATCTAGTGAAATATTCTTTTGTAAATAGGTATGAGTAGTTTTTTTTAGATACGTTATTATCTTGTACTACGCAATATAACAACAATTCATAGTGAGTTTTTAATATTATTGTATTAATGTGTATAAAATATGTTTCGTTTTTACACGTCGTGATACGCGTTATCCGTTATTGCAGTCGCCGTGCATAATAATATGTGTAAATATTATACTATATATTATAATACGTCATAGGCATATTATACAAACATTGTAAGTTATAAATATACACGCGTGTGTGTATGCATAATACTGTTACGCGTAAGCATTTCTCTCTCGACTTAATCAAAAATAAAAAAATGCAAAAAAATATCTGATGTAAGAAATTTGATAATATTTACTAGTCCTTATCTTTTAGAGTGTATTTTGTAGGTACGGCAATATTATTGTAATAATAATTACTTTGTACGTTTGTCAATATTTTATTTTATATATTGTGCGTACGTTTTTGTGCAGTGTAATCGACAAAAATATATATTATTATTATTATTATTATTATTACTATTACATGAGTGTTTATTTATTTTCCTTAAAAAGTCCATATGGTTACAACATTAAATATTGCTAATATTACATTGGAATAAAATATAATATAATTCATATAGAAGGTTGACGCACATCGATACCAGTCACATAGGTACCACCGTACAAAATATATAAACCTGATATTTGCTTATTTTTGATTCACGCATTTCAAGTGCACGTCACGTATTATTATTTTTATATATTATATTGCTCAACAAACAGGACGACGAGTCTCGTCACCAGCGATCGTATACGTAACAGGTTTATTGTTTGGACATCATTACATTATAATCCTCTGCTGCTACGATTTCCGCAAAATCCAAAACGGACATTACGACGGGCCTCGAAACTCGTTTTTTATTTTGTAGATAAAAAATAAATACAACTATATCGGTGCTACGGCATTACATGAACGCTCATACGACCTGCGTACTCGTTAATATTCATGGTGACAATGATATGCGCTGCGTGCAGCGTTCAGACGACCGTCGATGGTAACTGCAGTATATTATGCAGCCACCGACTGACTACGCACGCGAAGTCCATTAAAACCGATTCGGCGAACGCGAGTTACCTACACCCGGGTATCTGTTCATACCGCCGCGACTGCGACCGTCGTAAATGCGCAGCACTGACCATATTACCTATAAATAATGTTATAATGATAAACGTTTGTGTTTTATAATATTATCATATAATTAGCCGTACGACGGGCGTACCTGTACATCATGACGATACGTGCAAATGTTCCGTTATGGATATAGGTTTACAACCTGCAGTGCTTGTCGTAATAACCGCGTATTATTGTACACCTATACCGTACAAGCGGACGACGAAAACCAATTATATCAGCTTCTCGTGTAGTGTGATGGTTGCGAGTCTTTTCATGTGGAGGCATTTCGATATGCACTGCAGTATACTGCACCTTATTAGTAAATGAGATGAAAAAGTGGTAGCATTTTTTTATTCTCAACACCGTTATTTTAGAGTTGTGGAAAGCTGCGTTTCAAATTCGTACTAAACACGGTCGACCACCATTTAAGCCGCCAATCGTTATAAACAGTCGCACTCAAAACTATGCCTAGGTACACGTTATAATCTGTTGATGACGTTTCACAAAAATCATGTGTTTTTTTTTTGATTGAAGCACATATTATTATATTTTAAATAAAATACATATTTATTTGTATTGACAGAAAAAATATTTATTTTTTTTTAAACTCAACACTTAGGTCGTTACAAAGGTAAGTATTATCTATATATTATGTAGTATTCCAACTGGTAAATACAATACATCAAAAAGTCAACTCTCGCGGCTTATTTACCTATACCTAGGCTATACCTAGGCTATAGTATAGGTCATAAACGATAAAATATACATGATTTTTAGTTTTACGCAAAATAAAATTTTCTAATACGTTTAGTATTAATAAGTGACATTTTACAAATGTTTAGGATACCTAATATCCATAATAATTTAGACTTTGTACTATTGGTGTAACAATATGTATTAGGTATATACAACATAATATATCTATAAAATTATATTACCTACAAAAGACCTAATTGTGCCTGAATTGCCAACACGCATTTAATCACACCACTCATCTCATATTTTTCAATAATTTGAAGGTATTAAATGTGTATTAAAATATACAAAATATGAATATGTATACCTAACACTTATTTAAACCATACAATGAAATCGAATATCTGAAAAATATCGCTATCGTCGTCATATTATCCACTCGACCCTTCGACCATTATAACGTAATACCCATAATTATATCTGTCACGTGTGCATATTACAACACACCTATATAATACGTAACAAGTGGGTGTCCACGTCTACTTTAATGTTTATTTATAAAATTGATAAGTTGCCTTTTGGAAGTAAACGAGTACAATGTGTCAATATACTATAATATGAACTATGAAGGCATATACCATGTACACATAATATGAATTAACAATACATTGAAGTAAATAGGTTTATTTATTTTAATATATAATAGTTGCACATCGAACAGGTATGCCTAGGTATACTGCAGGCTACTTTTTGCCAGATTCGTCTAAGTACACATGCAATAAAATATGTCATATATCGTATGTTTTTTAGGTATGTATATAGTTTATATATTTATTGTATATGTTTGTTGTCGTATTACATTTTGAAGCTTCTCAATTTGTACATCGTAATTAAATGATGTTTTGAATTTTTTTTCCAAAATCTTGAAAGTGACGTGAAGTAATAGACAGAAAAATATACTGTGTGGTATACTTATAATCAACGTGTACCTATTATTAATGTTATTATCATACTATAGTGATGGCCGATGAGATACACGGTGACCGTTCGATTTCTTTAATTACATTTCTTTAATCTGCGTGCAAATGAGAAAAGTACCTATAAAATGCGCCTACCGCCTTGTAGATCGAGCGAGTATTGGATTAAAACAGGACTAAATAAACGTCTCAAGCTTTAATACTGTGATGAGAGATTACCATAATAATTAATTTTTTTCATTGACACGTCTCGTAAATCAAAATTTAAATATAAACAAGCATAGTAAAACTCGATGTAAAAATTAAATCGTTTAACTTGTATACATTTATCGTGTGAACGTATATTGGTATTCTAACGGTAATATAATAATATAACCAAATAAAAATTTAAATGATTTCAACAATCATCCATCAGCTGTTGGACGATTATGTCATCAGATTTAATGGTTTAATTTGGTTATGAGAAACTTCAACGTACTTAAATGAAGATTTTATTAAAATTGTAAATTATCGTTTTTAATCACTCAGGTGGTTTCCACCCAAACCTCACCTAAATGATCGGTAATATTTATAAAACCATTGACAAGTTGTTAAAGAAATGTATAATCATAAAAGTTAAGGAGTGGATAGTGGAAACTCTAAAGTATATAATATACGGTATCATACATTTTGGTGGTATTTTATACATAAATAAATATAGACATAGACGGTGATTATAGGGGGTGCTTGGGAGATCTTAGATCCTTCAAAACTATTCAAACCACTCTATTAAAATGTATTTATGTTATTAATTAGCTTGTTTTGTGTAAGATAATTGTAGTCTAAAAATCTCTAAAATTTAAACAAATAGTTATTATATTTAAAGGTAAGAATACGCTATAAAAATACGCCTTTTAAAAAAAATTAGTATTATTACTACGAGTATATACACCAGTGAATTGCAAGAAACTCTTTGACCATTGTTATAAACATAATATTATTATAAGAAGGCACTATATAACACTTATGGTAGGTAGAATTTAAAAAATGATTAATTCAAAGATTCACTTACGTTGAACGAATCAATCTTGGACCACTAAATCATGTTTAAAGGACTATTTCTTCGCACTATATAGATTCATTAGGTAGTTATTTAGTATTTGCATGGTATATGCAACACAACGTTAATCGACACAGCCGATGACGGATTCATCATTTTTCTATTACCTACCTATTTATAATATATTATACACAATAGTAGTATGGATGTACTTTAAATAATATTGATATCACATAATATCACTTATAAATAGTATAATGATATAGTCATAGGGAATTTTCATTTTATTCTTCTTTGTATTTAAAAATTCAAACATCAAGTAATCGGCAATCTATGATAAAATAAAAACTATAGAAATAATTCGTTGTAAAAAACACATTCTGCAGTTATGATTTTTATACAACAGGTTCAGATAGGTACACAGTTGCTAATAAAATAATAAATCGGCACATCGTAAATTAAAGCTGAACGATTTCTAACAAAATAAGCAATCCAATGATAAGTAGAAACACATAAATCAAATTTAAATTATACGCATTTAAATGACGCCATGGTATACCGATATATTATACCTAAATATATATAAACGTTTATATTGATTAAGGTCGCAGTGTTGAAAAAAATAGTCTCTGCATGCAATTGTTTTTCTCGTGTCATGTCTCATCACATAAATTGTTATTATACTATTATAATATATAGACCAATAATAGACGTCATAGTTGAGATTTTTATACTATAATCGACACAATCAGATATTATGATTATAATTTATATTTTTATTATATTTACTGATTGAGTTAAGACTATTTATGATGTGCATAAAGTATAATAGGTACTTAAAATTTAATACCTTATAATTAATATAAATGTATGGTTGATTATATACTCTCCAATATTAGTATAACATTTTTTAACATAATAAGGTGCTAGAATAATCACTACCTACCCAATAATAAAAATGAATTATGTTGTAATTTTCGT